TAAAATATGCATACAATTATTATTACATTTATTATGATTATTAATATATTGTTAGCTTTAAACATGATGTATTTTGGCTGAAAACCAACTAAGACTAAATCCATTATCATCTTTAAATTGGCGATGCATAACTTGCTATTTGCGCATTTGTCGGTGTGCGCTTATATAGCCGTTCGCATTTGTCACTGTGCGGGATTGTCGGTGTCCGCATTTGTCGGTGTGCGCCATTGTCCGTGTGCGCAACTATCGGTGTTCGCGTTTGTCCTGTGCGCATTTGTGTCATTGCGGGATTGTCTGTGCGCGTTTGTCGTGTGCGCATTTGTGTCATTGCGGGATTGTCTGTGCGCGTTTGTCGTGTGCGCATTTGTGTCATTGCGGGATTGTCTGTGCGCGTTTGTCGTGTGCGCATTTGTGTCATTGCGGGATTGTCTGTGGGCGTTTGTCGTGTGCGCAATTGTCTTGTGCGCGTTTGTCACGGAACCGATATCTAAGAATGTTATAATCAATGTACAACATGTAAATAATGCAATTACAAATTTAAATATGCTTTGGACTGAAATTGTTCTGCGCGTAAAAAAATGTGTGCATTAGAAACTTTGCATAACCTCATAAACTGCACCTGCACTTTCAGTGACCTAGATTTACCTGGATTTGGAGCTAAATCACAAACTGGCGATTCGAGCTGTCGAGCTGAAACTTGGCACATAGACTCGTTGCCGATGACAACACATTCATTCAAATTTTCAGCGCCCCCCCCCACCCCCAAAAGTTACCAAAAGATAGTTTTTACTGTTTTTCGAGGGGAAGATACAAATAAAATGTCCCCATAACAGCGCTAAATGAGATCCTTTTTTAAAAAAAATATCGTAAGTGCGTTCGGTGCGTAATATTTTCTTTTGTTTTTCTAAAAATAGTTGTTGAAATAAATCTGCAATTGAAAAGTGGTTGGGTCATTAGAATAGTAATAGAGTTCAGGGGCGTGTAAAAGTGGTTGGGTCATTAGAATAGTAATAGAGTTCAGGGGCGTGTAAAAGTGGTTGGGTCATTAGAATAGTAATAGAGTTCAGGGGCGTG